TTTTTCTGACCAAGGAATGTTGTTCAGGGCTTTGCCTGCATTCGCTTCATCATGGGTTTTTTGGGGGGGATAATAATGGCTGCCTTTTCTGTACACCTCCCATAAAAGTTAAAGTTTTGCAGTCTTTCTCTCTTTATTTGCACTTTCATATAAAAATCAGCAACTCCCTAGAGGCTTTTGGAGATTATTTCTCAGCATTTTGTTGTGGATCTCAAGTTAAATTTATTTAGATTCATGGACATGTTTGCAAATATTTTTAATGCCCTTTACTCAAAAACTGTTTTGTGCTGAGTGGAAAGGATTAAGCATTTTTTTACTTCTTTTACTCTTTAAATAAAGAGGTCTGTTTATGCTTATATTCTATCAGAAATAGCCAAAGAGTGCTTTCTTTAATTTATGTTGCTTACTTATAAAATTACATTTCTCTGCATTGTGAAAGAGATATTTAACATGAAATCTGTTTTTCTCACTTAACTAATTTTGTTAATTTTCACCTTCTAACTGATGTCTTTGTAAAATTTGCTATTTTATATTTACTGTACATTTGAAATCAAGAAACAAAGCAGAGCATTGAAATAAAATCCCTTTAATTTTTTTTTCCCCTCACAAAGGTGTTTGGGTTTTTGTATGTAAATTTGACAGATTCTGTGAATTTAAAGGTACAGTTAAATTCTTCAATTATATATATTTTTTTCCTCGTTTCATATCTCAAAAGTTTTAAAAGGTGCGTAGAGATTTTATCACTCTGTGAGACCTCTGTAATTTCTTTGGTTTAAATCCATCCAGCGGGACAAAATAGCTCTTTGTCTATTTCAGGGAGACAGTGTTCATTTACGCCGTTTCATGTCAGTAAATCTGCTGCTAGAAAACATATTTCAGGGTATTTCGCCGTCCTCCTGTCCTCGCTCCTGCGTCCCCCCACCTCTTCCCGCATAACAGAAATGAATGATTTACAATTTCTGGGGAGACACTGAGAAGGCCATGGAAGAGTTTTTAAAGGTGTTGTATTTTTCATGTCCATTACATCCATTCTGTTCTCAAGGGAGTGAGACTAGGAGAAAATACAAGTACATAAAGGTAAAGCCTCACCTTAAACCCCTTGTCTGTCGAACTGCTATGTTCTTTGAAGGTTAGCAATGCTGCTTGTTGTTTTGCTCTGGCTCTTTAAAGAAAAAACGTTGGAGAGTTCAGCCAGAAATTGGAGCTGGGTTAATGCTTGTTGCATCCAAGTGGCATTAATTTTAAACATGGCAGGTGAGAAGGTTGGAGGTCACTGTTTTAGTCCATTAGCACCCTTTGGTCCCCTTTACTCCTATGGCATCCAAACAAAAACAAAATCCTCATCATGCTATGTTGTGAGGACCATTTATTAACGCAAGAAAAATGAAAAATAAGAAAAATTAATGTGAGGACCAGAGAGATGTCCTAACTTTCCTATAAATCAGGCATCTNTGTGATGAAAAAAAGTGATGTAAACATATGACTATATAGTCACAGTTCCAACATTCAGGGGTTATTTATTTTATTTGTTTTTTAACCCATTTTATTACCCATTATTTGGATCGAAGCATATTCATTTTAGAAGGTTAGCCAATGCCTAATTTCTTTTATTGAACTTTCAAATCTTGCTGCTGATGTATAGGTATTTACGTTATAACTTGCAATGCTTATGCCTTAAACATAGGTTTATAAAGGACATTTACATTCTCAAAAAAATGCATGTTAGAGCAGAAAGGCTGAATATGACATCACAGCAAGATTTAAGTTATATCACACACATACAAAAGTGTTTAGCTATCCTTTCTTTTCCTCTCTCTGTCTCTGCAAAGTGGATTTCCAACAGTTTGTTTTGCAGTGAGAGATTAAGCTTCACACTTCACAGCAGAAAAGTGTTTAGTGCATAGTGAGTCTGTTTACTTCTGCGATAAGCAGCTGCGTTGTCTGTCACTGTTCCAGATGTTTTGAGCAGCTCCCTGGCAGCTATTCCATGAAGTGCAACAGAAATATTAATCCAGAAAAACAGACATATTCAAGCTAAAACAAATAGGCTGTTTAAAAAAACAATCTAAAACTAAAAGCCCAACAAAAACTGATTTAATTATTTTGATTATGCAAATAAGCTCATATTTTGATCATTAAAACTGACGAAACTTTCTGTGATTAAAATTTTTTTTTTTTTCCCAGCTTTTTTATTACATTGTCACAAGTATAGTGCAATGAAATTCCCTATCTGCATTTAACCCATCCCCTTGGGGAGCAGTGGGCTGCCATTGTGTGGCGCCTGGGGAGCTGTGTGGGGTTAAGGGTCCCCTTTGCTCGGGGACCCAGAATGGAGGCTGTGGGAGAGGGTTTCAGACTCACAACCTCTGGATTCCGAGCTCTACGCTCTAATCACCTGAAACCTGAAAATTAAAATCTGACTGATTGAATATCAAGTCATTAAACTCAGCAATATCATGTTTGAAACACTGCAGTTGCACTAACAGCTTATTTCACAAAGTAAACATCCTTAAGACATAAAAAGGTAAATACATGTACGCCTAGAAAGATCTTTAAGATGAAGCAGACTGAAAAGTTTTGTCATTGTCTCCTATCATCTTTTCTCTTTTTTTTTTCTTTTTTCCTTTTTCTTCTTCTGTTTTTCTGCTCTATTTACATTGCAGTGTCCACATAAACTGTAAAACTCCCTGCATAATTGTAATAAAGCAATTTATATGCATGAAACAAGTGGAGCAATATGGCAATTGCCATACTGCTACACTTGTGAAAGTAGCAAAAATAGCCAGACAGGACACTGTTAAAAAAATAAAAATAAAAAAATAAAAGAAAGATCTTTAATACCTTAATAGTTTATGTAATGTTTACAAAGAAACCACCAGACATTATTGCTCTAATATTTTCTCTGATTATGTTCTTCTTCTTTAGACCACTGTACCTCTGAACACCAGCACTGCCTCAGCTCTGCAGTTTGCCCTGGGTGAGTATCCAATGTCCACAGGTTTTGCAAAGATGCACTGCATGCAGGCAGTTTTTGTTAAAAAGATTTTGAGGTGTAAGAAATGACACCTGGGAAGATTTTAAGTGCCTGTTTATCAACTTATCTTATGGTACATATATATTTTTTTAATTACATACAGTCTTTCAATATGTTAGACTTTGTCATGATTTTATCAAGAGCTCTGACCCACATGCAGGAAACCAAAACAGAGAGACCAGGGAAAAGTTTAACAGGTTTATTTAGAAGGGTGAGATGAGTCCAGTGCTGCTCTGAACACTGTTCAACCAGAACTGGAAAGTGAGGGGAAGACACTGTGGTTAGTTCAGGCTGAGTGGGAAATTTTATTCTTGAACTTGAAGAGGAGAAATAGGTTTCCAGAAAATGGTATCTTTAATTGAATCCAGTCGGTGTGGGATGTTCCTGTGCTTGTCTTGTTAGATGGAGGGCGGACAGGGTTTACCCAGGTTGCGGTTGTTCCTTGGTGAACAGAGAAGCTGACTGCCACTTAGATTTCCTGCGGTACTTGAACGGGTCGTTGTAAAGATAAATCCCCTGCTCGGAGAGAAGCCCCAAACGATCTTTGGGGAAATAGGTTGATCCAAGCCACAAACTTGAATCCTCAACTCAGTTTGGTTCTCAGAAGATCCTTCCAGGGGAGAGAAGGTCCGAAACATCCAGTTTGCAGGATGACTTCCTGTCGAGAGGCAAAGACAAAACAGTGAGGTTTAAACTCAGGTTCACAAACACTCAGTTTGACTCAGCAAAACTCAGCTTGGCTAGAGTAACCAAAACTGGCAAACACTCTGGCGTCGAGGTAGTGGCAGTCAGCAGCTTAAGAGCAGTCCGTTAATGAGGTAACCCTCCGCAGGTGTGTGAGGAGGCCAACCAGAACCAGGCGCCGCCTGGTGGAGGAAGGAAGACAAACACAAACAAAAACCACACAGACTGGAATCCTAACGGCATAGACTTAGAAAACTTTTATTGTCATTTCGTATACACAGAGTGTATGCAAAACTTAATTTCATTTAGTACATCTTTTCAGACAGTAAATGAACATTTCTATTCCATGAAGTGCAGCAAATGTAAACAGTGTGGGAGAAAAAAACATGGTGCACCTTGTATTTGTGTATTTACAGACTTTTTGAAAAAGGGGTTTTTTGCCAGGTATAAGGTGTTTCCTTGTGCCTTGCTTGACCTTTTAAAGACAGGCCAGAAATGGTACCATTTTTTCTTAGGATTTCACTAATTGGAACATGGACTCACTATGAGGTTAAAA